ATTAGCCTAGACTCCGCAAGCAGGTTGTCGGTTCACCGCTCAGCCCTGTACCGACCCCGCTTCCTCTGTTCGCTTGACTTATACACAGAGCGATTCATGTCTGCTGTTCTGTTCGCCAGAGCTGCGCCCCCGCCTATTCATAATAACACTGGCCGGTACTCCGGTTCTTATCATATACTCATCATGGAATTTTCGTTGTTTGAACACTTTATTTCAAATTGGGTTACTAGCGTGTAGTGTAATTAGGAAAATTCTTGGTGAGCTTTAAAGACAGTTTAGTAGTTTATGGATTCGTGCTTTAAACCTGTAGTTGATTGTGATAGTTGCTTTTGATTTTACCTTCTTTCACTAGCTGATTACTTTAAATATCAGGCTTGTATCAGGTAAGAAAGAGGGTTTTTGAGTTGAAAGATTAGCTTCGTATAGAGGCCTGAAATCTCCGATAATTTTGATGTTGGCAACGGTGCCTAATAAAGTAATTTAAGCCTCAGAAGATTTTTGCTTGAAGTTCAATTATAAGCTTATCCTTCATTGAGTGAAAAAAAAAAAGCTGATCCTTATTGAGTAACATAAGAAGTATAGTTCAGTAGTTTAATCTGATATTGCTCAATAATTGTCCCTAATGGAATTTGTCAGACGGCGTTTTGCAAAAAAGTCGATAGAATTATATTACTCTCAAGAGTAAACTCAAAGATTGTCGATGATATTACTTGACTTTTGTTACATGATTTTTTTTCATTCAGATTATTTAGGACACCTGCAGACTCTCCAAAGTCTTGCGATTGCTCAGTTGTCTTCTAGAATGACACGGCAGCCTGATGAGGAATCGCGATCCACCTTTTACCCAGTTGATTAGCCTAACCCACTTATTGACTTAACCACCGGATACGATCACTCTCCCCATATATTCGTCAATATAATAAATGATATGTAGGATTATACAAGGAAGTTAACCGGCACACTTTTTTGAAGGCATTGTAGATTAATAATAAGTTGAATGAGATTAATGGATTCTAATATTGATGAAAGAGACTTCAATCAATGTAATCGACCAAGACTTCTCAAATATCTCTAATGCAGCTTGACTTTACATCACTCTCCTTCAGAGTGTAGCTATAGATAGGACTGGCGTAAATATTACGATGTTATGTGGTCGGTAACTATTCATTTACTGAGATATATTATAATCTATAAAAGCTGCTATTCTAGTGAAATAGCCAATCCCGAAGTATTGAGAATCGAATTCAAAAGATAATCCAAAATTAAAAATATATAGTAAAGCTAAAAAGAAAAAACACAAAGCCCAAGATCCATCCGCTCTCACAAAGTAACCAAGTAAGAAAGCCGTCCACCCAATCGAAGGCCCTAAAAATCTATCAATTTAGCTGACTTGGTTAAGCCAATATTTCTTTAGCAACGAATTACTTAGTTTACTTTAAGGCTATTGGTATGTCTGAATAATTCCACCATTGAATCTTTATATGAAAATGCTTTAAGGTCGGAGAAGGAGGAGCTTCGAATCTTTCACAATGAATAAATGTATTATCTGTTTTTATTGCGATACATATGGTCTTCAGGTTCTAGCTTTTCATTTTTTTACTTGCTATAGAAAAAAAGCATGTGCAAGTACATTGTAATATAGATCAGCATCATTATTGGTTATCCAAGCTCAACGCAATTTTTAAAGTGGCCTAATCATAATGGTACTAGCCTTTACTTAATTTATTCTTTTTATGGCTATATATGGGCATGTGGTTTTGGTATTTGGTTTTTATCAGGAATTATAAAATAATTTTCAGGTGATGCGTAATTCCCAGCTAGTAATTTTTTTTTATGTATATTTTCGGACGGCTCTTAACCGTGGTGGCTTTTTAATTTTGCTCACCACAGTTATATTTAAATTTTAGATTTGAATTATTTTTCTTCCCCTATTCATTATGAATACAGTATCTTAATTATTTGGTAATATTATTTTTTTCTTTCGTTCTTTTACCAATCGAGAGTTTTAAGTATATTATATAAATTCTCACACAGGTTCATCTTGAGTGTAGCGACTTTTTTGACCTGTCACTTCTCAACTCGTTTGTGTTGGTTTTCTGTTCGGATCTATTAGCCTCTTAGATTTCTAAAAGTTCGGTAAAGTCAATTCCGCGTGATATCCCTTATTTTATGTATTTCGTCCTCTCCTAAGATGTAAGGCTTATTCATGTTCCCCTCTTTAAACTGCCTTGTATAACTTATTTATCATTTTTTAATTAATTTTCATGAGGTTTTAAACAATGACTAGTTAGTATTTTGTGTTCTACCCTTCCACAGGTAATAACTGCCCTGTGATATTAGATAATACTACACACAGAAATAACACGACAAATAAATCAATAATGTTAAATGGATCGGAGATTAGTTCCTAATAGTATTTGTATGAAGAGTCGTTACTTCCATATTATTTAATCCATATAGGTCTTTGCTCTGTAAAACGTGTATAATATAGCGCCCTATACCGGCATTAATTAATTATTATATCCTCACGCACCATAAAAATGCAATATACATAACAAGCTCCTCTTCCTTATCTAAAGTAAAGTTTGGTAACTTTAATTTGAAGCTAAATAAGTAAGATAATCAGATTTGGAGAAATCACAGTCCATAATATACAACACCTATTTCGCAGCTCACACTCAAGGCAATTTGCATATTTAGAGTAAACGAGACTTGATAACAAACAACACTGTACAATTTCATAGCACCCCTTGTTTTCCTCATAATTTCACTAATCTGCGGATCTCAACCGATAAACTCTCGATTGTGATAGAAAACTGAATGCTAGCTGTTTGATACTATTAATTAACGTATTCACTGTTCTTATACATATATAAAGATTACAACCCTATTTGTGTTTCATACCATAATATCTAACTTGTCACTAAAAGAATTGGAACACTACAATAACCTATGCAAATATACCACTATATTGGCCAACATCCCAATAATTTAACACACGAATACAGTACAGTTAAATGACATCACTGTCCATTACTAGTCATATGATTTTAAAACTATTCTGAGCATAAAACAGATCCCAGTGACATCTTATTCTGCAAAAATGTATACTTGGCTACACAATCCAGAACAAAGGTTTTACACACTTCCCTGTGTACATGTAACACACACACACACCACATCCTCATCTTCTCATTGCAACCATTCATTTACATGAATTACTTCAGGAAGAGAACTACCAAACATTGTATATAAATAGTTTACATATAGCATATCCGAATTGTTTACAATACCAATTTCTATAAAGTAAAAATTATTACTTTGTCCAATGACACACCTAGAAAATTAGGGAAGCGGATCGATTGAAATGTAGTGTAATTCAAACACAGCAATACATATACACTCCTATCTTCTTTCTGATAAGTAGATATAAACATGAGTGTTATTTATGAATCACAACATTTCGTTCATATAGAGGGCAAGGATATCTACGTCTATAAAAGAAGCGAAACAGGCATAAATGATTTTCAGGCAGCCTGGTTAAGTCACTAATTGACATAGATCAAAAATAAATATTTATGTTAAAATAAGTAGAAAAAAATAAAACTATAGTCTTAAAGGATATTGATACATTGACTTCTTCATTCTGAAAATGAGTCTACAGTTCATTTTAAAAGGTGCCAATCATCTCAAGAGGTCTCCTTTTAAGAGTAACAGAAAGAATAATCTCATAAGAAATGAACAAGGTTGAAATATCTCAGCTCACTAGTAATGTATACGAAGTTCCTCTCACTGTCAGTTACGTGTTCAAATGCCTTTTATCAGTAATTATTTGAATGCAACCTACAAATACACTAAGCATCGTAAGTAAGCCCACATACGACGTGCCTCTAAGCTTGCGTCATATACAAACAACCTGCTCACCCGCCCTTACACACGTTGCGACCGTTAAAGGTAAAAGAAAAGGTTGGAGAAAAACCAGTTTCACAGTGGAGCATGGGTGTCTACATTCTAAGAAGAGAGAGTCGCGGATCAATAAGCTTCAACGATAAACGCCATACTTCAGAAATATCTAAACGGTAACAGAAAGAAGAAAGTAACAAATCCATGAGTTGCTAACTAGATTTGAATGATCACTTGCGATATTTCTAGCTGTTTCTGCTCAAGAGGGTAAGTGATTATCTAGGCGCGCCTGACAATATCAGATATTTAATTTATAGAAAGATAAAAGTTTCATTATCGAGCTAAGTTTTCGTGCTTCAAGAAACTATAGCAGCATATCCCAAGATCTGTGTCAATCAAAGATGATATAGATTCTTATGCATACGAGAAAGACAGCATGAAATCGACGAAAAAGAGGCAATATTACCGTAAAGATTAGAAATCGTTACATATACCGTTACTGAAAGAGGATTATAGTATATTTAATTAGACCGAAAGTTCACATCTAGATCATATTAACAATGATAATCGAGATACACATCAGATAAATAATTCCTATGTACATATTAAAATATATATCATATAAAATGTAATAAATTTGAATAAAGTTTACAATGTTGAAAATAATGGCTATCGAGAAATTGGATTCAAACAGCAAATTATTATTTAGTACCAAATGCAAAAAAATACATAAGTGTTAGTAATGATAAAATGTATTATGAATTAAATAATTATATATGCAGATAATTATAATGTATTAAATATTATAGTGTATATAATATAAGAAAGTTAAATAGGATCGTTTGTTTCTCGCTTGTATTAATTTATTAAAATATATTATTTTATATAGATCTGCAAGGTTATATTTTATAAAGATTGGCATAAAGAATTATCATGTAGAGGACGACGTACGAAATAACCAACGAGGTTAATTTGGCTTAGTCTATGATCAAAAACGAATTTTCTATGAATTTTTTGCAGTTTTCTGTTTAAAATAATTATAATTTATATTTTTAAACAATTTTTTTATATATAGAGCGGGGCGGGACAGCGTGGGCGCTCCGGTTGGACGGCGGCGGTTTCGGGCATATTGGCGGTGGCAGGAATGATTTGGCGCCGGCCGGGCATGATTGCGGCAATCATTTGCCGCAATAAAGGCAAATCTAGGCTTATCGCACGTCGGCTGCGGGAGGAAAAAGGGAGCCGTCCGATCGGCGCCTGATGCGAATGACGGGCCCAGATCTCGGTTGGAGGGACTGTACATCCGAGCCGCATACACGGTCGCACCGAAGGGCGGGCGGTGCAACGCGATCGTAGCCGTTGATCGGCGGATCAGACGGCCCGCATGGCGTCCAACCTGGGGACGGAATACGAAACTATGATGGGTTTTTGCTTCGTTCTCACTCGATACTCAAGACCAAATGACATGAATTATTTAACCATATTAATTTGTAGATGTGAGAGGCATCTCAATAGGGGACTATTCTTTGAGATTTATTGGCAGTGTATGAAAATATTAGCTCTATAGTGTTCTTTATAAGGATTGAGTTTTTACGTTATCAGCTACGGTGGGATTCAGAAGATCTTGGTCTTGTTGGACTCGTGGAGCTCAAGAAGCAAGTTCTAGTTGACCTCGAGCCTTGATCTCGCCTTGGATCGATCACGAATGCCTTGGAACAAAATAACCTTGGTTTTCGGCCGGATTTTCTCGGGCGCCGGCAAGCCTTGATCGTCGGGATTCGAGTGTGGAAAGGTGAAGGAGTATGAGGAAATCTCCGCAAAGTTTCTCAGAGAGAAGAGGCTAGGACAAGAAGCATCGAAGTCTAAATAATGCCTAAATTTCCTATTTAAGCTCTAATCAATTGAGTGGACGGTTGGGATTAACTCAACAGGTATTAGGAAGGGAAATCTGAA